GTTAATTAAAAACCCATAATCTACATAATTAGAAATGCAGTTTAAGTTAAAATTTCTGCTCATATTGACGCGGTATCACTCTGATCATTTTTGGAATGTGCGATCAGATACCTACGAGAGTTTAGAGTGATTTACTCAAAATAATTACTTTTTTTAACTTCCAGTGTATTGTTAGTTACTTTAACATGGACCTTTTTTATTTTTATCGTAGTCGTTTAATCATCCACACTGCACCCATTTAACATCCTTCAGACTTGTATGGGAGAAATGAAAAAAGTTTTAATAGGAGTGAGTCATGTGGTCCAAATATTTACCCTGATGTGTAATGGCTTCACGTTTGTGTGAACAGATGACCAGTGATAAATAAAGAGCAGGGAGTGGTGATCTTTATCACTCTAGCTGGTAAGGACTTTAAATGGTATAACATGATTGCAAAAGCATTCAAATGACAGAAGTCACATATTCTTAAAAATAATTAGCATTTTAATGTTTTTTGCTCATTTGCACAGCATCTATTTTTACTATATATATATATATATATATATATATATATATATATATATATATATACACACACATATATAACACATACGTGAGTAAGTTTTTAGTAAATTTGACATTTCTCATACTGTTTGAAAACGTACTTCTTTAGCTTTCTCTACCTGTACCCTGATACCAGTAGTGCAACTGTAATCAAAACAACACATAGCCCTCAGTGAATACTATCCTAGCAACCTACTTTTCTACCATATCCTTACATTTTGTGTCACTACACTCCACTCCGTTTAGCACATAAGCTCATTGAGCAGGGCCCTCCACCCCTCTGTTCCTGTGCGTCAAACTTGTCTGGTTACAAATACGTGTCTGTTAGTCCAACCATTGTACAGCGGTATGGAACTTGTTGGCACTTTATAAATAATAATAATAACATTAAATCAAATATTCAGGATTTTTCATGTAGTCAAGAATCATCAGGAACAGACTATTCAATTGAAATTTCATGCCAAAATAGCAAAGTTGGTTTAATACCTGAATTGGAGATTATTCCAATTTGGTTATTTTGGTCTAAAAATTGCAATCCCCTGCTCTATTTGAATTCATTATTATTGTCTTTCGTATGCTTGGACATTCAAACATCAGGCTTTCAAATAATTAAATGATAATATTATAATTGCTTCTTATCTGTGTTGGCAAACGAATCAGATATCAATATTGTCCAAAAAGCACCTTACAGTAGATGCATTTCATATATGTGGTGCAGGGCTCCAAATTTCTCAAATTTCCAGATTTCCAAAATAGGATCCAAATGCACTCAAACAGAAAATTCAGAGATTGACTGGAAACACTCGCTAATACAAAATACATAACCAGATAAACACCCAAATCAACTTAAATGGTTCAGATAGAAGTACTCTTTATCAATTTAACGAGGGGCAAATGGGGCAGTTGCCACAGGCCCAATTACTCGTAGAAGGCCCAAAGCAGCTGCCCCGTGGGCCCCACTGCCCACATTTTTTTTCCATTCTTGCACCAGGCCCTTTCTTCTTTAGTTCTGCCACTGCTTTGTGGTGGATAGTGTGATTGCATGTCAGGAAAGGGGCAGGATCCAGGGGGCCCAAGCAAACTGCTGCCCAGGGTCCAATCAATATTAAAGACGTCCATGCCTGTGCTTTGATAAAGGGTACTTTTATCTGAAACATTTGTGTTTTATATGTCCTTCATTAAATATGGTAGACCTGAGGTGCGCTATGCATTATTGTTTGCACTTGTCCTATATTTTGAGTTTATTTGGGTGCTTATACTGTGATCACTTTATATGAGCCACTGTGTTTTTTGAAACAGCTACACAAAAATGAATCTTTTTGGAGATTTTTTGTGACATTCTTTTTTGGTATTGACTATTTTAATCTCTTACATTTTTTTTGTATATACATAAGTAGATAGGCAGCAAAATGTATGTACAATACAGATACCATATGCAAAAATGGTTCCTACACAGTAACGTATGTAATCTGAATGTGTTTTGCATCAAACAGACGCTTTTTAAACAGCTATCTTGCTAATCATGTTTGCACAATTCTTGTAGAATGCCTTCTAGGCACCCTTAGCTTCAGCAATTTAAAAGTAGGTGATGTAATCCAAGAAAACTAAGGACTAAAATGCTAGTACAGAAAAACTGAATGTAGACCAATTATATTGCATTCAAAAATGAAGTGAGTACAATGAATTAGGGGTGTATCAAGCAAATGTGTCCAACTTAGTTTTGTTAAAACATTTGACACAGTTCCCTATTATATAATTTATAAAAGATCGGTTTATGCTCTTCCCCAGGGGCGGACTGACCACTCGGGCACTTCGGTCGTGGACCGAGGGCCCGAGGCAGTCAGGGGCCCGGCCGCACAGCCATGCTCCAGCTGGAGAGATCAGAGATCTGGAACGACAAAAAAAAAAATCATTTCCTTCAATGGGTTGCTGGGGCCCCTGATGCAGCGCGGGGGCCCCAGCAACCACCACACCCCCTCCCTCCCATGAGACCTGGCAGCTTCTCCAGCTCTCTGCCAGGTCTCCTTCTCGCGCGGTGCTCTGTGTGATGGGAGAGGCGGGGCCAGGAAGTGACATCACTTCCTGTGTACTCCTCTCACACAGAGCCCAGCGAGGGGAAGGAGCAGCAGCCTGGGAGAACAGAAGAGGAAGCAGATAGACAGGTAGGCTCTAGTCACACCTGCCCCCCCCCTCACTGCCCAATCACCCTCCCCCCACTGTCACTAATCACCCCCCACTGTCACTAATCACCCCCACTGTCACTAAATCACCCTCCTCCCCCACTGTCACTAATCACCCTCCCACCGTCACCTAATCACCCTCCCCCACTTCTGTCACCACCCCACCGTCACCAATCACCCCCACCTGTCACAATCACCCCCACTGTCACAATCACCCCCACCTGTCACTAATCACCCTCCCCCCACTGTCACAATCACCCCCACTGTCACCAATCACCCTCCCCCACTGTCACCAATCACCCCCACTGTCACTCCACCTCACTCCTCCCCCACTGTCACACCACCCCCACTGTCACCAATCACCCCCACTGTCACTAAATCACCCTCCACTAACAATAATCACCCCCCACTCAACAATCACCCTCCCCACTGTCACTAATCACCCTCCCCCACCTCAAGCTCACCAATCACCCTCCCCCCACTGTCACCAATCACCCCCTTCACTGTCACCAATCACCCCCATCCTCACTGTCACTAATCACCCCCATCCTGTCACCAATCACCCTCACTGTCACTAGTCACCCCCTCACTGTCTAGTCACCACTGTCGCTAGTCACCCCCCCTCACTGTCACTAGTCACCCCCCCACTGTGTAACTAGTCACCTCCCCTCACTGTGTAACTAGTCACCTCCCTCACTGTCACTAATCACCCCCCCTCACTGTCACTAGTCACCCCCTCCCTCTGTCTCTAGTCACCCCCTTCCTCTGTCACTGATCATCCCCTCCCTCACTCTGTCACTAGTCACCCACTCACTCTAGTGACAGAGTGAAGGAGGGGATGACTAGTGACAGAGGGAGGGATGGGGTGACAACAGTGACAGAGGGAGGGATGGGGTGACACAGTGACAGAGTGCGGGAGGGGGTGACTAGTGACAGAGTGCGGGAGTGGGTGACTAGTGACAGAGGGAGGGATGAGGTGACTAGTGACCATCACCCCCTCCCTCATTCTGTCACTAGTCACACCCTCCCTCACTAGTCACCCTCCCCTGTCACTAGTCACCCCTCCCTCACTCTGTCACTAGTCACCCATTCCCTCCCTCACTCTGTCACTAATCACTACCTCATTCTGTCACTAGTCACCCTCTCCCTCACTCTGTCACTAGAGTGAGGGAATGACTGGTGACAGAGTGAGGGAAGGGGTGACTAGTGGCAGAGTGAGGGAAGGAAGGGGTGACTGTTGACAGAGTGAGCGGATGACTGGTGACAAAGGGAGGGGATGACTGGTGACCGAGTGAGGGAGGGGGTGACTAGTAACAGAGTAAGGGACGGAGGGGGTGACTAGTGACAGAAGGAGGGAGGGAGTAGTGACAGAGGGAGGGAGGGAAGTGGTGACTAGTGACAGAGTTAGGGAGGGAAGGGGTGACTAGTGACAGAGTGAGGAAGGGGGTGACTAGTGACAGAGGGAGGGGGTGACTAGGGACAGAGGGAGGAGTGACTAGGGACAGAGTAAGGGAGGTGGTGACTAGTGACTAATGACAGTCACCACCTCCTTCACTCTGTCACTAGTCACCCCCTCCCTCACTCTGTCATTGTGTCACCCCCTCCCTCACTCTGTCACTAGTCACCCCCTCTCTCACTCTGTCACTAGTCATCCCCTTCCTTACTGTCACTAGTTACCCCCTCCCTCTCTCTGTCACTAGTCCCACCCTCCCTCACTCTGTCACTAAAGTGAGGGGGTGACTAGTGACCGAGTGAGGGGATGACTGGTGACTGAGTGAGGGAGGGGGTGACTAGTGACAGAGTAAGGGACGGAGGGGGTGACTAGTGACAGTGAGGAAGGGGGTGACTAGGGACAGAGTGAGGGAGGTGGTGACTAGTGACAGTCACCACCTCCCTCACTCTGTCACTGTCACCCCCTCCCTCTGTCACTAGTCACCCACTCCCTCCCTCCCTCTGTTACTGGTCACCCACTCCCTCCCTCTGTCACCAGTCATCCCCTCACTCTGTCACTAGTAACCCCTTCCTTCCCTCACTCTGCCACTAGTCACCCTTTCCCTCACTCTGTCACCTGTCACCCCCTCACTCTGTCACTAGTCACCCCCTCACTCTAGTGACAGAGTGAGGGAGGGTGTGACTAGTGACAGAGAGGGAGGGTGTGACTAGTGACAGTGAGGAAGGGTGTGACTAGTGACAGTGAGGGAGGGTGTGATTAGTGACAGAGTGAGAGAGGGTGTGACTAGTGACAGAGAGAGGGTGGGGTGACTAGTGACAGAGAGAGGGAGGGGGTGACTAGTGACAGAGTGAGGGAGGGAAGGGGTGACTAGTGACAGAGTGAGGGAGGTGGTGATTAGTGACAGAGGGAAGGATGGGGTGACTAGTGACAGTCACTCTGTCACTAGTCACCCCCTCCCTCACTCTGTCACTGGGTCACCCCCTTCCTCACTCTTTCACTGTGTCACCCCCTTCCTCACTCTCACTAGTCACCCACTCCCTCCCTTACTCTGTCACTAGTCACCCCCTCTCTCACTCTGTCACCAGTCATTCCCTCACTCTGTCACCAGTCATCCCTTCCTTCCCTCACTCTGCCACTAGTCATCCCTTCCCTCACTCTGTCACCAGTCATCCCCTCACTCTGTCACCAGTCATCCCTTCCTTCCCTCACTCTGCCACTAGTCATCCCCTCACTCTGTCACCAGTCACCCCTTCCTTCACAGTGACAGAGTTAGGGAGGGAGAGACTAGTGACAGAGAGAGGGATGGGGTGACTAGTGACAGAGAGAGGGATGGGGTGACTAGTGACAGAGTGAGGAAGGGGGTGACTAGGGACAGAGGGGGTGATTAGTGACAGAGTTAGGGAGGGAGTGACTAGTGACAGAGGGATGGGGTGACTAGTGACAGTCACCCCCTCCCTCACTCTGTCACTAATCACTACCTCCCTCTGTCACTAGTCACTACCTCCCTCTGTCACTAGTCACTACCTCCCTCTGTCACTAGTCACTCCCTCACTCTGTCACCAGTCATCCCCTCACTCTGTCACTAGTCACCTCTTCCCTCCCTCACTTTGCCACTAGTCACCTCTTCCCTCCCTCACTCTGCCACTAGTCACCCATTCCCTAACTCTGTCACTAGTCACCCCCTCTCCATCCCTCTGTCACTAGTCACCCCCTCTCCATCCCTCTGTCACTAGTCACCACTCCCTCACTCTGTCACCAGTCACCCCCACTCACTGTGTCTCCCCCTCACTCTGCCACCACTCAACCCCTCCCTCCCTCACTCTGCCACCAGGTACCCCCTCACTCTGCCACCTGTCACAACCTCCCACACTCTTCCACCTGTCACCTTCTCCCTCAACACTCTGTCACCTGTCACATATGCATTCACACAGACACTATATACAAAAAAGCACATGTAGTCATCCAGACATGCACAAGTGCATTCACACAGACTCAAATACAAACATGCATTGATACACAGGTCTTCACAATATACACATCCAAAGGAATGCCGTATTATGAGTTATATTTAACATTTATTTAATGCACATATATTTGGCCTTCAAAGGGCCTGGGATCTAATTTTGCCCGGGGGCCCCAAATGCTCTCAGTCAGCCCCTGCTCTTCCCTATATATGTAAAGAGGTTTAACAATAACAACTAGACATCATGGCACCTCCTACACTTAAACGCAGCAAGCGCCCCAACTACAACTTTGGCACACCAAGCTGACTCAATACCGCTAAAAATGCTCCAGAACTGCTGAACGCTACTGGAGGAAGTCTCACTCCACATCTGACTTTCTCCACTATAAATTTATGCTGCACTCTTACAGCTTGGCTCTTCCCTCTGCAAAAGTAAATTACTTCAATACCCTCATAACCACACTCTCCCACAAATCCAAACGACTTTTCCACACTTTTAACTCTCTTCTTCGCCCTGCTGCTTCTCCTCCTCCCACTGACTTAACTGCCACAAACTTTGCAAATAACTTCACTGACAAGATCTCTACAGTCAGGGAAGAGACCTCTCATCTCTCTCCTTCCACTTACAATACTTCCCACAACCTCACTCCCTCTGCTGTTCTATGCTCATTTGCACCTGCTACAGCGGAAGAGGTTTCTGATCTGCTCCGGTCCTCCCGCCCCACTACCTGCTCCCTTGATCCTATTCCCTTGCATCTCATCCGTACTCTGTCTCCTTCTCTTGCTTTGCCTCTCACTAAAATTCTCAATCTCTCCCTCTCCTCTGGCATATTTCCATTATCCTTCGAACATGCAACTGTAACCCCGATTCTAAAAAAACCCAACCTTGACCCTAACTCCCCGTCCAACTACCACCCTATCTCGTTACTGCCTTTTGCGTCCAAGATCCTTGAAAGACTTGTGTATGTGAGATTGACAGACATCCTTGAGTCCAATTCTCTGCTTAACCCACTTCAGTCTGGTTTCCGTGCTCAGCACTCTGTGGAAATGGCTCTGACCAAAATGTCAAACGATCTACTCGCTGCAAAATCTCATGGTCACTACTCTATCTTAATTCTCCTTGACCTTTCCGCTGCTTTTGATACTGTTGATCATCAGCAGCTTCTTTTCATCCTCCGTAATCTCGGTCTACGAGACATTGCTCTCTCTTGGTGCTCCTCCTACCTCACCCAGCGCTCTGTTAGCATTTCTATCTCTGGCTCTGCCTCTTCCTCATAACCTCTCTCTGTTGGTGTCCCCCAAGGTTCAGTCCTTGGTCCCGTACTGTTCTCGATTTATACTGCCTTCCTTGGTAAACTCATAAGGTCCTTTGGCTTCCAATATCACTTATATGCAGATGACACGCAAATCTATCTGTCCTCCCCTGATCTCTCCCCCCCCTCTTGACTAGTGTCTCTGACTGCTTCTCTGCTATTTCTAACTGGATGGCTGCCCACTTCCGTAAGCTCAAGTTGTCAAGCTCAAGCTCAAGTTGTCTAAAACAAAACTTCTGCTCTTTCTTCCCTCAAGTGTTGCTACTCCCATATCTGTCTCCCTCCACGTTAATGGTGCTATCATCAGCTCCACCATGCAGGTTCGTTGCCTAGGTGTTCTCTTTGACTCCGACCTCTCCTTCACCCCTCATGTTCAGGCTATTGCCAAATCATGCCGCTTCCATCTCAAAAACATTAACGCCAGATGCAGCTGTGGTGCTGGTCCATGCCACTGTCCTTTCCTTCTACTTGACTACTGCAATATGCTTCTCACTGGTCTTACGTGCTCCCAAATTGCCCATTTTTAACAAATTAATTAGGGGCTGGGTAAGCTAGAGGCAGAAAAAAATAAGATAATTATGTTGGGCATTTTGGAAACAAAAATAAACTTGCAATGTAGCTCCCTCAAAAAGGCTAAATTAGGGTAAATGATAATCTGTGATGTCAGCTCCTGCAAACGTCAGTAAGAATTTTTCATGTATAGAAAGGGATATTGATTCAAGCAATTATAACGTAATTCTTCTTCTTTTTAAATCAATAGTAAGGAACCTAGTAGAATACTTGAATTATTGAAAACGAGATAAATCTCAATATATTCTTCCTGTGAAAGTACTTTCTACATAAATATGCAGTGGTATTTGGGGTACTAATTTTTTCGTGAAGGGCTTCATGAAATCTGAAATGTGTAGAAAAATTTACTCACAAAGAAAGACTAGAACGTTCCAGTTTTAAATCAGACACATACATATATTAACTTTCATCCCCCAACACTGCTAAAATAAATCAAAAGACGTGCTAATTATTTTGATTTTATATCTTATGAAAATCCACTTACTTTAGCGTAATTATAAGATAATTATGGTGCAATATTTTATTAATCACATTATTTTTTATTAACCTGCAATTGGATGATATATACACAACTGAAAATCATAGCACAAAAAATAGATCTTACAATAAAATACACAAGATCCAGCGCAGTCACTCATCCACTAAACAGCAACTTCAAAGCTCACAGATTTTATTAGTTTTTTTTTTTTTTTAAAAACCCTAATCTAGGCAAAAATAATGGGGGTTTAGTTACAGTATATGATCATACATTGCATAAGCCTGCCACAATGTAAATGTGCCCAATCTTTGGCAGATCCTACTCTAGCAACATATATATATATATATATATATATATATATATTCTGATTTAATTTGTATCTGGTGTTAAAGCGTTATCAGCTGGTTGGACCAATCGCTGCCTTAGAACTGGGATATCCAAGTTCAAATCCCAGTCAGACCACCTTACTAGCGAGTGCCCTTCGGCAAGACACCTACCTCAAAACCGTACAGATTGAAAGCTTGTTTGAGCAGGACCTTCTTCACCTCTAAACATCCCTTTCCTGTAATTCTAAAGTGCTGTGGATTACGTTGGCGCTATATAAATACTAATAATAATATAGTCGCCACTTGACATTGTAGCTTTTTTCTAATATAAACACCAAAAGTCCATCTATGGGTTTTTTATTTTATTTTAGAAAATAAACCGCATAATCATTTTAGGATTCATTTTGTGTTAACTAGTTTCTGTTTTAAGTAAAATTGTTGTTCCTTGTGTTTTTACCTCCATTTTATCAACTAACTTCCTGAATGGCACTAAATCAAAGGTGGGAATTTCTAAATAGAACACATCTGTTATTTCTACTCAGCTTTCTGAGTCATTAACTCATCTCGCTCAGTAATGCAATTTACTCATACAAAACTCACAATGCCACAAATGAATATCCAGTTTACTGAATGGTGTTCTCATAAAGTTAAAAAGATAACTACCTTTTATCGGAGATCTACAGATCTGCAAATGCTGCCAGAGTATGCTAACATTTTTAATTGTATACGGAATTAAGTAAATAAAATACTGAATAAAGACATTATTTATAATGAAGGTTTCTATTTTATCAAATAGAATACAGGATAAAAACATTATTTGTTATAAAAGGTTTCTATTAAAGGAACACTATAGTCACCTAAATTACTTTACCTGAATAAAGCAGGTTTAGTGTATAGATCATTACCCTGCAATTTCACTGCTCAATTCACTGTCATTTAGGAGTTAAATCACTTTGTTTCTGTTTACGCAGCCCTAGCCACACCTCCCCTGGCTATGATTGACAGAGCCTGCATGAAAAAAAAACTGGTTTCACTTTCAAACAGATGTAATTTACCTTAAATAATTGTATCTCAATCTCTAAATTGAACTTTAGCAAGCTATTAACATAACAGGGGATAAGAAAATCTTAATTAAACAGAACTTGCAATAAAGAAGGCCTAAATAGGACTCTCTTTACAGGAAGTGTTTATGGAAGGCTGTGCAAGTCACATGCAGGGAGGTGTGACTAGGGTTCATAAACAAAGGGATTTAACTCCTAAATGGCAGAGGGTTGAGCAGTGAGACTGCAGGGGCATGTTCTATACACCAAAACTGCTTCATTAAGTTAAACTTGTTCAGGTGACTATAGTATCCCTTTAAGCTTCATAAACAGCTTTGAAACATGTTATTTTGTTTCAAAATTATACTGTATTCATACAATTGTTGTATGTTTGCTTGCTTTGTGTTTGTTGAATAACTTTGCTTTGTATTTGGTTGTTTGGAGTTATGTGTCTGTAGAAGTGATGCAATAGTCCCACATAGAATCGTGAGAGTATAGTACGCATGAGTGTAGGAACCCAAACAAAGCTGAGCACTGCTTTTTAAAGACAGGTTAAGATTATTGAGATTATATCTATGATGCCACTGTGAGCATGTCAGCTTCAGAATTGTGGTTTATTACGAGGTCTAAAAACCCTTTAATGGCTCTATTTTCCCATAATACAGAGTTCACCATTTTGTATCCTCTATATATCTGAGAATATATACACTCTTTGTCCCAGAAAAATACTGACTTAATTCAGCAAAGTTTATCAATTGACATAAGTTATGTAGATATGATACGTATAATATATAGGTATATATTTAAAGGGAATATTCTACTTAAAATTCTTCAAATGCGGCTTTTAATGTAATTTTTATGGAATCTAGGTGGACTACAAAGTTCTTTGTAGGCTTTCCATTAAATTTGGTA